TTATTTTAGTGTTGTATTTTTCAAGTTATTTCCATTTTAAATTTGTTTTTCAGTCTCTTGATTTTTCTGCGAGCGTGTTTTATTTTTCTTCAAACTGGTTTTTCTGCCAACTCGCTCGAAATGGCACAGTTCTTGTATATTTTGCTAAACCGGTTTTTCTTTTGACTTTTTAGAACCAGAATAAAAATCCGAACAGAAAATATAAAAGAAAGAAGTGGCAGCAGCAGCGGCAGCGGCAGCGGCAGCAGTAGGCACAGCTGAAACACGTATTGAAAGTTCTTTTTTCTTGGCTCCCAAGCAATTTTCTTGAGTCTTATTTGGAGTCCCATTTTGTTTTCGCTCTGTGCCCCCCTGTTGTTTGATGTTGTCGCGCGCACTTCCTGTGGAAACAGGGCACGGCAGTTGTGCCTTAACCACGATCCCCGTTCGCCAGAGAGAGAGAGAGAGAGGGTGGGGGATCGGTGGCCGGCGTACATTTAGGGGTTGCAACCCCCAACAGGAAAAAAGTTTACCCTCTGCCCGTGGACCCTTCGCTTGCTCCTGCTCTCTGTCTCTAAACAGGCTTAACCAGTTTTCGGGGTTGCTCGGAGATCCTGGGACCAGAACATTGGTGGGACCTGGTCTAACGTCTGGCGCGTGCTTCATATTGCAACCTTTTATGCCCTTATCCTATTTTTTTCTATTTTATTTAGTTTTTTTGTTTTTTAATACCCGATTTGCATTAGGGCATGATGGCACTCAAGTTGTTGGCATTTGAAACCCTGAATTAATGAGGTCCTGTGCCGTTACAACTGCGATATGCATTGAAGTGCCTAGATTAATATCATTTGATGGGAGAGTTTTTCGCTAACATTGCGTGACATTTTGATAGCGCTTTAGTTTGATAGTAGATCTATCCACAATAGTTAAATAGAAGGAGTTTAGGTGCGGAATTCAGTTCTCTCATATATAATTCAATTAAAATTTGCAATTGCCCTAACTGAAGGTGTTAAGTGATATTTTTATCTATATCTTGATATCCTATGAACGGCAGCTGCTAAATCAATATCTAGAGTTGGGGTTTTCGCTAACAACGTTCCGCATATGAGTAATTTTGGACGTCGTTTGATAGTAGATCCCAATACATTAAAAATATCACTAAACTAATCACTCTTTCACATACATCCTTTAGTATATAAAGTTTATTCACACTATCTATTATTATGGTGGCAATCGCATTTAACACGATGTTTCGGAAAATGCAATTCCGTTGCATTTCAATTGCGAATTGCTAAAATAAACAAATGAATAAGTTGAGATTTTCGCTAACCACGTTTCGTAAACAAAATATTTGTTATTTGAACGTCGTTTGATAGTAGACCTCAATACAAACATACATATGTATATAGGCATGTACTCTTTTTTTTTACACATATTCATACATACTCTCATTCCCATTCACAATCGGCACAATTTTCGACTATATGTATGCTCTCGCCACACATCCGTTGCGAGAACCCCAAAGCGAAAAAATAATAATAATATGAACGCGCGCGTCATCTACAAAGTTTTTCTGTGGGGTCCAACTGTACTTTTTCCATGCAAAACAACAACCCGCTCAGCAGCAGCAGTAACAGCAAAAACAACAACAATAGCGCTTTGCTCTTTGCCTGCGTTGGGAAAAAGGATCCCAATTTTCGTTATAATCCTCCACCATCTGCGCAAAAATAAAACCTTGCATGTGCAAAGAGCGTGCGTCACGAAACGTAGTTGTGGAACAGAGAGTGAGCGATAGGTAGAGGGAGAGAGGAGTGAGGCAGAGAGCGGCGGGAGAGCGAGAGAGATCCTTTTCTATGCTGTCGCTGCTGCAATCGCTGCATGCGTTGGCAGCGAGCCGCCCTTCCGCCCGATTTTACCTACTACTCCACGGCGAATATTTGTCGGGCTTTGTGTGTGTGTGTGTGAGTCGGCTGCTGCTCAACTACAATAACAACTATTATAAATCCCCTTTTCCATGTAATTGTGTGTATGTGTGCGTAGGAAAAACCCTCAGCTTGAGGCGGCGGACATTGTCTAGCCAATGCATCATCAACGTTCCTCTCGACGTCGACGTCGCTGTCGCCGCCAGCGTCAACGTCGACGTTTATGCCATTTGGGGTAAGAGTTGCCCTAACTAAGAACAGATGGCGCCACTGCGCATGTCTCGCACCTTATGTACAAAGGCCACACAAGTTCACACAACACAAGAGCATACGATATATACATACATACATACAAAAGAAATGCATGTATGTATGTAAATAGAAAAAACTGATCCCTCACACAAAGTAACCGTCCGCCTAACGGTGCCCTCTTGCGCTTGCACTTCTGTTCGTTTCGTTGCTCGTCTTTCGCCTTCGCTCGGCCATCAACTTCTCAGCAACAACAACAACATGAAGCACAGCATGTGTTTTTCGCCATTATATTTTATATTGATCGGCTGCTTCCTTTTGCTTGGCGAAAAAAAAAAAAGAAAACAGCGACAAGCGACTTGTGAAAAAGGGAGCCCGAACCGAAAAGCCGAACCGAACGCCAGCCAACATCGTCTTCAGTTGTGCGTCACATAGCGCAAATGTTGCTATCTCTGTTGCGCGCATTGTGGTTAGAGAATTGTACATGGGCACAGTTAGGTTTTCTATAGAACTTCTCTATGTCGGTCTGTTCGCCGCATCGCATGCCTGTCTGCCTTCAGACGGGGGCCATAAAAACGAACGAGCAAACGAGCGCGTGTTGCAGCTGTCGTTGCCGCTGCTACTGCTTTCCACCTCTTTTTATGCTGATGATTAAATTACGGCAGGAAACGGACGTACAAAACCAACAACATCAAGAAGAAGAATTCATATGAGATGCAACTGTGTGCGCTCCCCTTTCCATTACAATTCGCCGTAGAGGCAACAATCCTCTTTCTTAATTTCTTTTTATTCGTATAATTTTCGCTTCCATTTTGAAAAATGAAAATGTAGCCAAGCGGCGACGTTGACGGCGACGGCATCATCGCCGGACTCCAAAAACCTCTGCCACGTTTTCTCTCTTTCACTCGGTTTGCTTCTTGTCAGTGCGGCGAATTGGACTGCTCGAATTATGTTTGGCAGTTTACCTGCCTACGTTTGTGTGCGTGTATGGGATGTTTTCCCGTTATATTTGCTTTGCTCTTTGGCACGCTCACTGTAATGCATTTCAAAAAAGGCTCCTTTTGCCTGTCCTCTACCTGCCTATAGTCGTCTGCTGCTGCTGCTTACTTGGCAATTTCATAACATGCCCCCAAAGTATGTGAGGCTCACTCTCACTCGCACTCGCAGAGCTACACCGCTCGCTCTCATCAACTTCGCCATGGGCGGCCATTTTGGTGTGTGCGAATGAGCGAGCGAGCATGCCAAACCGAACGCGACGAGAGAGCGAGAGCAGTGAGTGAGCGTCGACGAAGCGTCGCGGCGAAAATGAAAAAGGGTCTCTCAGTCGCCAGCACATTTACGTCGTTTCAGTTGCTTTCGTGCGCTTGGAGCTTTTGTTTGGTTTTAGTGTGTGCACGGCAGATCGCGACGCGTGCGGAGTGCTGGCCAACAAAAAATTACATACACTCGTATATTAAACATACACACACACACATTAAACAGCAGCAACAACAACAACCAACGCCAAAACCACACTCAAAAAGAAAATCATTTTCCTTGTGTATTAATAAATAAATAAAGTAAGTTTGTGAAGTGGGGAAAAAGTATAAATAAATTATGGACATACACAATTGTGAAATCGTTTTTATATGCAGTTCCCCCATTTTTAATATTTATGTGAACTTGTGTTTGTGTGTGTGTTCCTTTAAATGAAAAATGTTCTATTTTTAAATGCATCATAAAGCAAATGACTTACACACTCACACACGGAAATCTATGTGACTGACTTGTAGCGATTGCTTCATACTTAAACTTTAAAATTATCAGAAAATCATAAACGTTTCTCTGTGTGTGTGGGTACTTGTGAAATTTTCCACAGCGAAAATCCCACTAGGAAAAAACACAGTGAACACGCACACATAATCACACGCTCACACACATTCGTCTCGTTCACATACAGAGTGCGTATGTGTGCAAGAGTGTGTGCGTTTGTGCATGCAGCAGTGACGACGCGAACGTCGACTGCGACTGAGAAACTTCCCCTCTTTATGTTTCATGCTGCTTGCTGCTGCTGCCGCCGCCGCCTCCTCGTTAGCTAGCTGACAGCGACGCGTCGACGTCGTCGTCGCAACGTCTCGTTGTCGTCATTTATCGTTTCCATCGATCTCCAACACTAGCAACTGTAACATCGCCACAAAATCCGTTAGCCGAGTATTTGTACTTGCGCTCTCGTTGCTATCGCTCTGCTTGCGCTCATTTCATGTCGAGTGAGAGTAAGTGGTGTGGTGGCTGGTGCCGTTGGAATGAACAAAGTTGAAAAAAGGAAGCAAAGCAAAGATAGAAGTATTTGAAAGCAAGCGACGGAACAAGACATAAAGAAAAAAAAAATTGCATTTGCAGTTGTGTGCTTGAGCGTCATAGATGGCGCTTTCAGTGTATTGAAAAAGTATGTTTCGCATGTGTTGGTGTATTTGTTGATGTGTTGATGAAGCAATTGCGGAGCAGTGTAATTTGCATATGTAGATAAAATATTTATACATACATACGTATATATACGAATGTGTGCAAAGAATACAAATAATAATAATAATCTCGCTGAAATTTCGAGCTCTGTTGAGCGTTAATGCATTTGAATGTGTGTGTACTAGGCGGCTTTTATTTTGCCGTTGCTGAAATAAAACATGAACTTGACCTTGAACAGCTTGCTAGAGGCAAAACATAAAAGCGAGTAATTAATTGCCATTGTTGTTTGGTTTCTTTTGATGTATGCAAGTGAATATATATACATATGTGTTAATTTTTGTAATTATTTTGTGCTTAGCGACTTAACTAACTTGTTTGTATTTTTGTTTTCTTCCATTGCACTTGCAGTTTAACTGACATAACTACAAGCATTTGACAAAAAAGGAAGGAAGATAACAACAAGTGAAAGATAAAACAAGCAAACCAAACGAAACCTTGCTTAGAAAACATATAAGCAAAATAATATTTTCAACTGCATGATATATTGAAATTTCCTGAAAGCTGCTGAAAGAAAAACGCGCCAGGCAGAGAGCACAACCCAAAGCGCGCATCGCCACGTCGAACGACGCGACGGTCGGCAAAATCAATATTTTTCCCTTCCTCCTCTTCTATCCTTTGGAAACTTTTCGGCAAACATGGATGACGATCAACAATTTTGTTTGCGCTGGAACAACCATCAGAGCACGTTAATCAGCGTCTTTGATACGTTGCTGGAGAATGAGACACTAGTCGATTGTACGCTCGCCGCCGAGGGCAAATTTCTCAAGGCCCACAAGGTGGTGTTATCAGCATGCAGTCCCTACTTTGCGGTAAGTAAAAAAAAAAAAAAAAAAAAAGAAAAAAAAATAAAATAAAAACAAAAAATTTAAAACGAAAATACAAAAATCTAAATTGAAACAAATTTGCATTCTATTTAATATTGTAGACTTTGCTGCAAGAACAGTACGACAAGCATCCGATTTTCATACTCAAGGATGTCAAGTACCAGGAGTTGCGCGCCATGATGGATTACATGTATCGCGGCGAGGTGAACATCTCGCAGGATCAACTGACGGCACTGCTAAAAGCCGCCGAATCGCTGCAGATTAAAGGTTTATCCGATAATCGCAGCGGCACCGGGCCAGCAGCTGCCGCTGCAGCCCAACAACAGCAAGCACCCAAGCCCGATACACATCATCGCGTTAAGCTGAGCGCTCCCTATACACTCGAGCAGACAAAGCGTGCGCGCATCACAACGGGCGGTGCAGCTGTGGGTGTTGGGGGCATGGTCGATGCTGGAGATGTGGCCGGTTCGCGTGAAGGCTCCTCCAGTCCATCGCGTCGTCGTCGAAAAGTGCGACGCCGTAGCATGGAAAATGGTAAATTGCAAAAATAAATAGTTGCAAATTATATGTTGTTAATTAATAAATCTGTTTACTTTTGCAGATATGCACGACAACTCGAATTCGTCTGTGCTAGCCGCCGCCTCCAATCAGTCAATCCTCCAACAAACAAGCGCTGGCTTAGCCGCCTCCGCTCTGGTCAGCACTCAATTGGCCAGCGGCAGCGGTGTAGCAAGTGCAACGGTTGCTGCTGCCGCAGGCAGCGGCACCGGAAGCCAAGTAATCAACCAGCCATTGACCAGCAGCAGCAGCAGCAGCAGTAACGTTACCAAAAAGACTGAAAGCGCTAAACTAACATCGACAGCAGCTGCCCAGGGCGCCCAACAACAACAGCAACAGCAGCAGCAACAACAAACAACAAGCGATGCCATTAACACCGACAATGTACAACAACAACAGCAGAATCAAGGCGCCCAAGGCGAGGCCGAAGAGATGGATGTGGCAAGCGGTGGTGCTGCAAGTGGCGCTGTTGCCGTGCATCCCGGTGTCGTTAAGCAATTAACAACGCTCGACAAGTCGAATCATAAACAAAAGATCAAAGATAATAGCATAACAACAACTGAAATGGTCATCGAGCCCAAGGCCGAATACGACGATGATGCGCACGATGAGAATGTTGAGGATTTGACTTTGGATGAGGAGGATATGACAATGGAGGAGCTGGACCAAGCGGCCGGCACCAGTCAGGGTGGCGAAGGATCTAGTCAAGGTGCGTCTTTGCCCAACAAGCATCTAAATTCACAAATGTATTAAATATTTTGAATATTAATTGTGTAAATTCTTTATCGATATTGTAGCATATGCAACATGGCAACACGACAGATCTCAGGATGAACTTGGACTAATGGCCGCACAGGATGCACAGCAACGGGATCCACAAGGTGAGTTTTTCCTTGCATACTCTATACTCGAAAAGATAGTTCAAGAAAAACTATATACAAAGTTATATATATAATACAAATGAAAAAGCAAAAACAGTTTAGATCAATTATGGTTAGGACCAGCCGAGCACGACGACCAGCTAAAAATTTCAAATGCAAATTTTAGTAGAAGCAGAAAAATGATTTTTACCAATTTTTCTCACACAACTCTTAATTCACATAATTTGTTTTTCGTTCAAAAACTTGAAAAGAAAGAATACCACATAATAATTGAATTTTTTGAAAATATTTAATATAAAACTGCAAAAGGTCGTGCTCCGAAAAAAGCTCTTAAACGTTTCAGCAAGAATTTTTGTTAGGTAGCCAAAAGCATAGAAAGAAAGTAAAAAAAAAACAAGCAACAAGAAAAATGCAAAGAATACTAAACAGAAAAAGAAAAAACAAGAAACAAAATTCGAAGCGGCGGCACAGCAAACGAAAAATAAAAGAACAGCAAAAATTTTAAAAACTGAAAAACCAGAAACCAAATGACAAATGTTTCAAGTACCATAAAAAAAAAAAATGAAATTAATAGCCTTGATTTGAGTTCTTCTAATTTGTTTTGTTTTTGTGTTTTGTTTTTCTGTTTTGCTTTGCTCCGCTCTCGATGTTACAGCCAAAAATTAAAAACTAAAAAAACCAGATAATAATTTGTGCAAGTTGAAAGTACTACTATTTATTTATTTTGAGTTTTTTTTTTACAACTAACTTCAATTATATAATTTTTTTTTTTTTGATTTGATCACACATAATTCGTATAACTCAAGTTTTTTTTTCTGTATATATTTATTGTATTTATTATATTAAACTACTTTAAATTTAATTTTTAACACACAATCTATCACAAAAGAAATTAAAACACAACCAAAACCACCAACAAACATTTGCTACTATACCCTACCCCCTAAAAGACCTGATTATTGCTATCCTCCACAACTATTTAACTAACTCTAACTATTATAACTCACTCAAACTACCATCAATTCATTTGCGCTTTATGAAATGTGTTCTATGTATGATTTGTTTTTAATATTTATATATATATATCTATACATTTTTTTAATTTCTATATATACATATATAGATTTATATATATTATGTTTGGTAATCATTTGGTTTTCTTATGTATTGGTGTTTTTTTGTGCCGCATTTGGTTTTTAACATTATTATTATTTTATGTATATATATAATTTATACTTATTTAACACACACAGACACATACACATATACATACACAAACATATACACATATAGTATTTTTTCAATAGTTTTTCATTAATTCATAACATAAGCCGCAAGCTGCTGCTACATAAATCTCTCTCACTCGCTCTCTCTTTTGAAATCAATTGCTGCTGAGAGAGAGTATCCGAAAACGAAGACACTTCAATTGCGCTCTCTCCTGATACACTCAGCACACTTTCCATACACAAACACACACACACACACACACACACATACATATGAACATTCATCTTGTACACACTGCAGCTTCAAGTTTGATTGTGTTTGTATTAAGTTAGTTTATAATTATGTTTTATGCGTGCGTATGTGTGTGCGTGTGTGTGTGCGTGTGTGTGTGCGTGTGTGTGTGCGTGCGTGTGCGAGAGTTGATAACAACAAAAGTTTCATAGCTACTACACCAAACGTTGTGCGTGTGTGACTTTGCTCTACCCCTACGTGTGTGTATGTGTGTGCGAGGGAGTGAGTGTGCGAGCTGTGCGCGTGTATGCCGTAGGTTGCTTTCTCTGTCTCACTCTTTCTCACACTGAAAGCTCTCTTAGTGTTTGTTTTAAGTGCTGCTGCAGTTCTGTCAAAATCAGCAGTTTTGTTGTTATTGTTGGTAAACCACTTCTAGCAATTTTAACCAGCAACATTCAAATAACCAAGTTATCAAGTTTAACATGATTTCTTTTTGTTAAACATCATATAACACACACACTCACATAATCACACATCATCCATACATACACATTCATCAATACATATACACACACACAATCCTCCATTTCTCGGCACTTGTTTGTTATCATTTTTGTCACATTTGCTTTTCTCGCCATATTCATTCAATGCCAACGTTTTATTTGTTGATTCGTCTTCGTTTAGAACTCTTCCACCTATATAAATTCCCCTTTTCTCCAGCGCGAGCTAATGTTTTATTACACGATTTTAGTTGATTTTTTTTCCGTTCCTTATAAACTATATATATATATATATAAATATTTATATAAAAAATACGCATGCAGTTTTTAAATTGTAATTTTAGTACTATGTATATTTATCCTATATATATTATACATACACTATCTATGTATATATATATATGTATAATTTTGCTTTATTTTGGTTGACGGGACTTTTTTTTTTTTGTTTTATTTATTGACTTTGATTTGTGTTATCCATTATGTTTTATGCTAGTTCTTAAGACGTTGAATTCGTTTCGAAAAATCTTTTGTTTGGCAAAAGCTTTTCTTTTGTACGAACAGAGAGCGCGTGCGCGTAGCTTTTCGAGCTTTTTTTTTACCGTTAAAGCAGCGCGTGCTCCCTCTCTACTTTGAGCTGAGAGCACATTGCGCATGAATCGCGTCGGTAATTCCTTAAACAAAAACTTTAAAGAGTTAAGTGCAAAAGTGTTCAAAGAAACTCAGCGTCAGCAGCAGCAGCGCAGCAGCAGCAGTAGATGAGGCATCGAAACGGAGCATCATGTCTACAAATTCGCCGTCTCGCCTGCATCTCCGCCCGATCAAGTTAATGCCGCGTATGCCAAAGCACGTAGCCATCCAGTGTGGGTGGTGAGGTACAGTTGTTGCTTTCGCTAAGCGCTGGTACTTGCATCGTGGCGCGCCATCTACAGTTGGTTTGTCTGCGAGTTGACATCTTTCACACGCTTGGGTCCAGGTAAGTATGCTTCGCTCGACGGTATCGGTTGAGCGAAGTGCCAAGAAAATGAAATAAATTTTGATATTTTAAGTTCGTTTTTTGTTTTGAGCCCAAAAAACCAAAATCCATGCCAATATTCCTAACATCCTATCCCAAAAGCTTTCCCCGCCAACTCCAACTCATCTGAAAAACAAAACCATTCACTCATCAAACCAAAAAAAAAGAAAACCATAATTTTCCAGCGTTTTCAGGTAATGTAGCAAACAGGGTGCAAAGCTCTGGTGCTTTTGCAACTCTTTGTGAAGCAATTTTTTTTGTTCAAATATTGCTTACATTAAAAAAAGCGCCGGCCAGGGTAAGCTATGAACCTATCTAAAATCCGCAAACAACAAAAATATATATATAATCATACATCATTTATATACTTTACGCTGCATTATTCTTAAGTGTATACCCATTAAATTACACACATATATACATATATATATATATATATTTATTGTATATATCTATACATATCTCTTATGATTACAATTATAATTTATTTACTTGGTCAATTTATCTTGCATTACGCTCCGACCAATCGAGTCTCTGTTTATGTTTGAATACTTTTTATAAAACAACAACCTGCAACAGAAAAAATTGCTTGAAGCGGTGCCAACAAACCAACCCAAACTTGTTTATTGACTCTGATTTTTGATTATACAAATATATTTAACAATGAATCTCGCTACCAAACCACAAAAAACAAAATACCCACAGATATTTTCCTCAACAGATAAAAACAAACAAACTAAACAAACAAAAATGAAAGAAAACAACACAAACATAACAAATGTTTCTTTTTGTTCTTCTAATTTGTTTTCAAAGTTATTTATTGTTTACGCTTTCAATGTGCTGTTGATTCTGTTTCGTTTCCATTGTTTCAAAAAAAAAATATATATAATAAGATTCTGTGTTTGTTCTATTGGAGATTGGATCGGCGCAGAAACTCTGCACACTTGACGTAGGCTAAAAATAAATTCAAGTTGATAACATGTTTTTGGAAAGTAATAGAATTGTGTGGGCAACGAGTCTGGAATTTCAAGTTAGTTTTCAATGGTGATTTAGATATACTTTATGCATCTGGAACGTGCGTCATTTGGCTGGTCAAACCACTTGCCGCTGGCTCTAGCTACCCCTTTTGAGACCTTCCGTTTGTGTGTGTTGTTTTGAAAGCTTGTTTTCTCATAATTTATAAGCGCGCGCCCCTTGGTTGGTTTCTTCTCTCGCTCCGTCTCAATTTCTGCTTCGCTCTCGCTCTATTTCTATCTCTATCTGTCATTCGCTTGCTCTGTTGCTGCTGTTAATTGTTGATCAACGTCAACAACGAACAACTTGAAAGATTCGTTCAAGTTCAAGGTCGGACAAAAATTTTTCTACGCTTATGCGAGAGAGCGAGAGATGATATATATATATAATTTTTTTCTTTTGTGAAATCAGCTTTATGTGTGGCTGAGATTGTTGCGTCTTTGTTTCACACTGAAGGAAAATGTATACATGAGCTATATAAAGTTCTTAATGATGATCGTGTATTTCGTTTGCATGGATTGCATTAGGCAGGAGGAAACGAGTTTCTTTTCAAGTGTTTTATTTTTTTTTTTTCGATAATGGGGTATTTCCAAATTCATTAGCATATTATTGTCTACAAAACAGTTTCGAAAGCGAGTGATTAAAAACATTAAACTTAATGTCTCTCTCCCACCATACAGAATAATTTTGGTTGTATAATGCCGAATGGCAGTTAGTGTATTTGATTTTTATTTAAATTCGATTCTGTCATCATGAAGTAATATTAATAGAGGATAATTGAAATCAATGTTGGAATTTATGGAAAGTATTTCTTTGAAATATTCGGCACTCTTTTACTAGACTGTTCTCTAGAATAATTGCGCTTACTTGCATTGAAAGCTCTTTGTTTGGCCTTGACCCACTTCTTGAGCCATGTGTTTTGGTTTGGCCTATTAAAAAGCACAAGTATCAAATGCTTTTTAGGTTACTGCTGCAACGTCGTCGTCAATGAAGCTTTTTGTGATAACTGTACA